AAAAGCTCTATTCCATCTCCCATAGTCTCTCCCACTGCACATTATGACTTAGCAATTCCATGGCTAGGTATATTTCAGGAGACATGAAAGCACATATGAACAAAGAGTTAAGTCACTCAGTCACCCCTTCTCCATCCCAAATGTTGGCAGTGTAACATCCATGCAGTTATATTACCAGGGTTACCCTAAAAAATATAAACCCTCACAGGCTATAATACATTGGCAACTCACTGACAGAAATGGATAGCCTATAAGACCTAACCTCTCTCCTAGGTAATAAGAAAACTGTATAAAAAGGTAAGGCTTGAAATGCTCAAAGTCTCCCATTTTAAAGGGATCAGAGGCTACTTGTTAACATTTCCTCTTTACCCCAAGAAAACAGCACTGGCAGCAAGCTGCACTTCACTTAAAAAAAAAAAAGGAAATGAGTTAAAGGTAAGTATCTCAAAAGAAAAGCCCATGGCATTCTAAGCAGCCAGCAATGAAGTTCCCATTTAAGTTCCCTTCAAAATGACGGGATACCTGCAGAACCATCTCCCTCCTGCCAAGAGAGAAAAAGAGATAAGGATTTTTAAGTGTATCCAAGTCATACTCACGAACACATCTGACTCAATGATCAATTATTAAAGCTTACAAACTCCCAATTCACTTGTCAGCAAACCAAATCTGACCCACAGAAGAAATGCCCAGTAAATTGCTTTCACATTGGTTGACTGTGTTTCCAAAAAGCATGCTCTGATTCTTGAGAGAGGAGGCAACAGAGTGCTCTTCTACAGTAGTCCCAAAATGTAAAGCTCTCCCAGTTCAGTAAAGCATCAAAACTAATTGGGAAATGGAAGACAGGATGTCAGCACAAAGCTGCCCACTTACATAAAAGCATTTACAAAGCAAGGGGAGATTTTTTTTAAATACCATCTGTTACTGTCATAATTTTCTAACAGATTATCTTAATGTCGGAGAGTAAAATGACATATTTTTTAAAAAGAGATTATGTTGTGGGTCCATTGCCACATCACGAGAAAATGGGTAGACAGATTTTCACCAAATATGAATTGTACATTTTAGATAACAGAGTAGAGTCAGCTTCCAGGACAGGGGTAGACCACATTTCCCAGGTGTGGCCCATAACAGAGTTCTAGCCAAAAGAATGTAAGTGGAAGTGACCCTGGCCCCTAAACCTCCTCATATTCATATAACCTTCTCCATGCTCTTGAGCCTTCTATGCTGGACAGTGATGCCAAGGGCAACCTTAAAAGCCATGTGTTGACCAATGGGGAGCTTCCTTCAACCTGGTGCCCTATTAAATAACTGTGGGGAGCAGAGAACCTACCTACCTCCTTCAACTTGAAACCACTTTGGGCCATCATGTAAAAGAGGAATAAATTTCTAATACGTGTATACCATTATACATGTTGGGATTTATTATTATAACACTTAGCCTACACATGATTCCACAGGATTTAACTTAATATATGGGCTATGAATCAATAATTTAAAAGCAATTCAATTTTTAGAAAGACAGGAAATCTGAACATATACTTCGAAGGAACATATATCGATGGTCAATAAGCACGTAAAAAGATGCTTCGCATCATTAGTCATCAGAGCAATGCAAATTAAAACCATAATGAGATACCACTTCACACCCAAAAGCTAAAAGTAAAAGACTGACAACGCCAAAAGTCAGAAGGATGTGGGGCAACTGGAACTCCCATATACTGCTGAGATGAAGTATAAAATGGTATAACCTCTTTGGGAAAAGGCTCAGCACTTCCTCATAACACATTCACTTACCTTATGACCCAATAAATCTACTCCTAGGTATTTCCCAAGAGAAATAAAAGCATCTGTGCACAAAAAAGACTTGTATAAGAATTTTCATACCAGCTTTACTTTTTATTTTTAAGAGAGGGTCTCCCTCTGTCACCCAGTCTAGAGTGCAGTGGTGTAATCATAGCTCACTGCAGCCTCCACACCCCAGGCTCAAGCAATCCTCCTACCTCAACTTCCCGAGTAGCTGGGACTACAGGCATGTGTCACTATGCCTGACTACTTGTTTTATTTGTCGTAGAGATGGGGTCTCACCATGTTGCCCAGGCTGGTCTCAAACTCCTGGGCTCAAACAATCCTCCTACCTCAGCTTCCAAAAGTCATAGAATTACAGGCATGCGCCTCCATGCCCAGCCACAGCAGCTTTACTCATAACAGAAAAAAACTGAAATAGCCCAGGTGTCCAGCAACAGGATATCCAAATGGTGATATATTCATATAATGGAATCTTACTCAGCAATGAAAGGAACCAACTGTTAATATATGAAACAACTTGAATGAATCTTACAACAGTTTTGCTGAATGAAAGAAGCCTTATACCAAAAAAGTACATAAATAAATGATTCAAAAAACTCAAAACACTGTTTGCCTGGTGTGAGATTGTGGGGGTTACAAGGAATGACTGGGAAACTCTCCAGGGTGACAAAAATCTTCGATATCTTGATAAGGGTTTAGGACTCACAAGTATATATATTTATCAAAACTCATGGAATGGTACACTTAATATGTATGCATTTCACTGTATGTAAATATTACCTTAAGAGCATACACACTGGACTCTTTTAATTTGCATGCTCAGTGCTTAGGGGTCAAGTATACTGACACCTAAAACTTACTCTGAAATGTGCTGAAAAAAAAATTAATGGATTATTGGATGAATGAAAGGATGGACAGACAAGTGGAGTAACATGTAATAAAAGACACAGGGCAAAATGTTCATTGTAGAATCTAGATGACAGATATATAGGTAAATACTGCAAAATTCTTTCAACTTTTCTGAATGTTTTAAATTTTTCAATTAAAAAAAGTGTTTGAAAATTATATAGACTATGAGGCATATGCATAATTCCTTTTGTAAGGCCCTGGTGGAGAGGAAGAAGTACCTCAAAGAAGGAAGATGTTTTCACTCAGAGGAGCTAAAATGGAGGAACAACAAGATATCAATGTGACTGCCAGTCAGGAAGATGGACACAGTGTACAGAGATGCCATGGACAAAGGAGATTGCCGTATTTCAGGTATGAGCTTCCCAACTATGGATGCGCTCTGTGAGTCAACCATTTCTCACATGGGCAACTACATGAGGCAAATCAACAGCAGGGACTTCATGCGTGAACAGTTCATGATTCTCCCAAACAACAAAGGCAGTTAGTCTCAGAATAAAGAAGAGTCCGTTAAAAATGAAAATATTTTGTTTTGTAAAAATCTCACTACCTTGTCCACACTTTTCTCAATTCACCGAGTATACATGAAAACTTCGGTGTGAACCAGGACTTAGCACCCTCTAGGTATGGAAAGAGTCTTGGGCCCAAGAAGCTGAGTTCTAACCTTGTCTCTGCCACTAATTAGTGGCACATCCTTCACTAAGACTCTACGTCTCTCTGGTTCACTTTATTATACGTATCAAGAACTCATGAACCATCCTAATGGTATATAACAAAGAACAGGACCAAGAGGGGAGATTTTCCAGGCTTTTAGGGGAGAATGGCAGCCTTTTCCCAAACAGGGAACCATTAAGGCAATCCATGAGCACTTAGCATTAATACCCGAGTTCATGAACACTGAGTTTTGAGAAAGAACACTAGGCAGAATAGGGGAAACAGGGTTACAGTCTTCTCTCTACCATTAACCAGCAGCCAGGGAACCAGGCAAGACCTTTAGACTCTCTAGGTCAATCTGCCAACAGAAGACTCAGACCAGATGCAGTCTCATCTGTCATAGATGCCCTCTGAGATCCTGCACCGCCGGGGCACAGGCCAGGAATGCCTCCCCTACCACCAAGTTAAAATCCTACTCATTAAAAAAATTCCTGTTCAGATGTCACCTGCTTTGTCCGGCCCACTTGGTCACTGCCTCTACATTCTACAGATAACCTATATTACAGCCCTCACTACGCTGGAGTGTAATCATCTGTTCATTCGTCTTGTCTCCCAGACTAGCCTCTCAACTTCTCAAGGGTGTTGGTCTTGCCTCATTGGAATCTGTACACCTTACCTAGGAACAGTGCCTAGCACCTGCAGGCATTCGAAGAATAGAATAAACGCATTAACCAATCCCTAATGTCACCGCCCAGCTGTAAAATGCTAGGCTTGATATTTTGAAGTGCATATGAGACAATGGATATCAAAATTCGTTTATTTAGTTGTTTAATAATGTGCATAGTACGTACCAGTCACTGTGATTGGTGCTGAAGACATCAAGATGGTAAAACACAATCCCTGCCCTGCTGGTACCCCACAACTATGAAAGCGTGTAAACAGTATTTCAGGAAGGGCAGCGTTACAGCCTACCCTTCTCCCCTGACGGCCTTCCTTGCAGCTGCAGCTCTCTGCCTCTTTCCCCATGAGCCCTCATTCTGTCCTCAAGCTGCGACCTCTGTCCCAGTTGGCAAAAGTGCAAAATTCTGAAACAACCACCAGAGCCTGTTGCGGACAACAAGTCCTCCAGGCCCGCGCCCCAGGCCCCACGCCTCGGACTCCCCTCCGCTGCTCCCGCTAATGTAACAGTCCCTCTGCACCCAAGGGGACCCTCCCGCCCCGCGAGACGCGATACAGTCCCTCCAAGCACCGCCCCGGGGGAAGCCGGGCCGTTACTCGCCGACGCTCCCACTTTCTACGCGGACCCTCGGGCCCGCTCGGGGAGCTCAGGGTGTACCTGCGCGGCCCGCTGCTCCTTCCAGTGCTTCATCTGGTCACTGGCGGGATCCCGGCTGTCAGCCATGGCGTGCGGTTGGCGGTGCAGAACGCTGCAGGCGGCCTCGGCTGGTGAGTCTCCACCCTAGAAGGCAAATGAGCCTGCTGCCCAGCGGCCGTGGCGACTTTAGGCTCCGCCAATCAGCACCGCCCCTCATCCCGCCCCCTCGGGAAGGCTACCTCCTGATTGGCCGCTCGGTGCTAGGCGGGCCGGGATTGGAAACCCAATGGGCGCGGAGTAGGTTTCCCCCTAGGGAGGCGGTGCTCGGGGATGTGGAGAGACTCGGGAAGGTGCGGAAAAGAGGGGCCTTGCGCTGGCCTGGCTGTTGAAGAGCCTCGCCCAGCCGGCCCCGGGTGCCCACGATAGCCGAACCCAGGGTGGGGATCCTGGTTATCGTCATCCCTCCTGCAGCCCCGGTACGCGGCCGTTGGTGACCTGCCAGTTTTACAGAGGGAATACTTAGACCCTGCTGGGTGGGGCCTTGCACTGTGTAACTGCTTTCTCAGCTCTTAAAAAGTCAGCAATTCTGGGTTAAATTCCTCTGTGCAGAATTAAATTTTGCCATACCCCAATATAAGTATTATTTGCAACCAATGGATGGATACTTTTCTTTCTCTCTCTTAGCTCTTCTTATTTGTCAATTATCACTACTCTAGTATACTAATTATTTAAATATAAAAACACTCTGAAACGTTTATCTCCTTACAGATGGGCGTTGATTTCCTCTGTTACCAGAGAAAAACAACTGAGAGATGGGAAAAATGTATTCCCTTGTGATGGGAAAAATGTATTCAACTCCTGTACACTGTGCCAAATTGACTTCTTTAAACACTGGAGAAACCTGCTTCCCCAAATTTTACTCCCAGGTGAGCAGAAATTTTGAAAAGCTCTGTGTCTTTAAAAAGCTATGTTGAAGAGTAAAATACTTAGTAATATTTAGTACAATATTTAAAAAGTCACTGACTAGTTTGTCATTGTAATCAAATAGTTTGAATGATTTCTACACCTCCTCAGGTACTAGGATTTATCTTTAAGCACCTTGATATATATAAATACTATATAAGTTATCAGCTTTTGATTTTTTTCCAGTACAACTACATATAATGGGTGGATATATAAAAGTGGAAACTTCACATATTGTTCTTGATCTTACAACAGTATGATAAGAATCTTGGGCATAAAAGTGGAATTTTTGCAGTTCATTGGAAAAGAAAGCCACAAATTGATCTTTAGCACCCTATACTTTTCCTATGTTAAACTTAAAACAATTGTAAAGACGCTGTTAGCTGTGTGATTTGGTGTCTTTTTCTACCTACAAGATCTATACTGCCAAGACTGTAAACTCCATGTGGGTCGGAATCCTCCCGTTTATAATTTATTGAGCACTTACTATATACCAGGGACTGGTATAAGTTTTTCATGTATTTGCATAGTTAAACCTCCCAACAGCTCTATGAGTTAGATACTAATATTATCTTCATTTTTCAAATTAGGAAACACAGGTATAGGGAGGTTAAATAACTTGCCCAAAGTTATACAGTTATTAAGGGATACAACTGGGATTCTATCTAGCCTCAGCTGCTGATCTCCAAATCCCACAGTTTGTTGAATAAACAAATGTTGAAAGAATCAAACAAATCATCTTCTTAACTAACCAACACAAATATCAACAAGGTAAATAAAAAGAGACCAGGAGTTATATTAACCTTTGTTCATTATATAAACACTGTTCAGCATGTATGGTTTTTTTCCTGTGTTTTTGTTACTATGGGTTTGGACTCCTAAGGAATTATTTCCAGAGAAAGAAATGGAGAAACAAGATTGGTTTCTGATCTTATCATATCTTGTATTTTAAAATAAAGGGCAGGCTTAGAAGTAATGACAATAAATTATATATATATATATATATATATATATATATTTTATTGCACTTTAGGTTCTGGGGTACAGGTGCAAAACATGCAGGATTGTTGCATAGGTACATACACGGCAATGTGGTTTGCTGCCTCCATCCCCCCATCACCTACATCTGGCATTTCTCTTCATGTTATCCCTCCCCAACCTCCCCACCCCCAGCTGTTCCCCCCCATCCCCCACCAGCAGACCCCAGTGTGTGATGCTCCTCACCCTGTGTCCATCTGTTCTCATTGTTCAACACCTGCCTATGAATGAGAACATGCAGTATTTGTTTTTCTCTTCTTGTGTCGGTTTGCTGAGAATGATAGCTTCCAGATTCATCCATGTCCCTACAAAGGACACAAGCTCATCATTTTTTATGGCTGCATAGTATTCCATGGTGTGTATGTGCCACATCTTCCCTGTCCACTCTATCATTGATGGGCATTTGGGTTGGTTGCAGGTCTTTGCTATTGTAAACAGTGCCACAATGAATATACTTGTGCATATGTCTTTATAATAGAATGATTTAATAATCCTTTGGATATATACCCAGTAATGGGATTGCTGGGTCAAATGGAATTTCTATTTCTAGATCCTTGAGGAATCGCCACACTGTCTTCCACAATGGTTGAACTAATTTACCTCCCACCAACAGTGTAAAAGTGTTCCTGTTTCTCCACATCCTCTCCAGCATCTGTTGTCTCCAGATTTTTTAATGATCGCCATTCAAACTGGTGTGAAATGATATCTCAATGTGGTTTTGATTTGCATATCTCTAATGACCAGTGATGAGCATTTTTTCATATGTTTGTTGGCCTCATAAATGTCTTCTTTTGAAAAGTGCCTGTTCATGTCCTTTGCCCACTTTTGAATGGGTTTGTTTGCTTTTTTTCTTGTAAATCTGTTTTAGTTCTTTGTAGATTCTGGATATTAGCCCTTGGTCAGATGGGTAGATTGCAAAATTTTTTTCCCATTCTGTTGGTTGTCGGTTCACTCTAATGATTGTTTCTTTTGCTGTGCAGAAGCTCTGGCGTTTAATTAGATCCCATTTGTCTATTTTGACTTTTGTTGCCAATGCTTTTGGTGTTTTAGTCATGAAGTCCTTGCCTATGCCTATGTCCTGAATGGTTTTGCCTAGGTTTTCTTCTAGGGTTTTTATGGTGTTAAGCCTTAAGTTTAAGTCTTTAATCCATCTGGAGTTAATTTTAGTGTAAGGTGTCAGAAAGGGGTCCAGTTTCTGCTTTCTGCACATGGCTAGCCAGTCTTCCCAACAACATTTATTAAACAAGGAATCTTTTCCCCATTGCTTGTTTTTGTCAACTTTGTGAAAGATCAGTTGGCTGTAGATGTTTGGCATTGCCTCTGAGGCCTCTGTTCTGTTCCATTGGTCTATATCTCTGTTTTGGTACCACTACCATGCTGTTTTGATTACTGTAGCCTCATAGTATAGTTTGAAGTCAGGTAGCATGATGCCTCCAGCTTTGTTCTTTTTGCTTAGAATTATCTCGGCTATGGGGGCTGACAATAAAGTTATAATGTTACATAGGAGGCTGGTCATGGTGGCTCATGCCTGTAATCCCAGCACTTTGAGAGGCCAAAGTGGGAGGATCACTTGTGGCCAGGAGTTCAGGACCAGCCTGGCCAACATGCAAAACCCTGTCTCTACCCAAAATACAAAAATTAGCTGGGCATGGTGGTGTGTGCCTGTAGTCCCAACTACTCAGGAGGCTGAGGCAGGAGAATCTCTTGAACTTGAGAAGCAGAGGTTGCAGTGAGCCAAGATTATACCACTGTAATCCAGCCTGTATGACAAAGTGAGACTCCATCTCAAAAAAATTAAAAATTAAAAAAAAGTCACATATTAGGTGGAAATTTTATTGGCTTTATGACTATACTTTAATCATAGTTTAAATGAAAACGCTTCTAAACATCAGCCATAGTTTAAAAATACTTGAAACCAAACCTGTTTGACTACCTAAAGGTAATTGCAAGTGATTGGTTAAGTAAATAAATTAGGTTCTAGGTTTTAACATTTTAGCCATATGAATTCATGGGCATTTTTATTGATATGAGTAAAATTGTTATTTAAAAAATGCTGTTCTCTGATTTTCAGAACTTAATGAAATAAAATGTACTGGCACAATACATACTGTTATTAATCCTGATATCACCAAATTTGAAACCAGGCTTACAAAGTAGACCATATAACAAATGTTCAAGAACAACATTTGAGTACTCAACTAGGAATCTTTATAGACAAATTTTATCTCATTAGTATTGCAAGAAAAGAATGGAGAGAATGTTATGTTTTATTGGATGACAGGCATACAAAACAGCACAAGGGGAAATTATTCTGTTCTGATTCCACCCATCCTTGAAGAGGCTGAGAATGTTCTACAAATTTCAGTTTCATCGTCTTCACAGTGGCCTTGTGAGGCAAATTCAGAGTTAGGCAAAAAGGAGGAAAAAAGAACACAATAGGAAAAAAAAAGAGAGTTACAATTCAGTATTGGCTGTTGGCTTTAAGAGAAGAGAGTAAACATTACCACAGCTTCATGACTCCTACTCACTGTGGAACAGGCTTGAGCAGGCAAGAGAAGAAGGTGGAATTTGCTTTACAAAGTAGCAGTAGTGTTATATCCAGTAGCAGCACATACCCTGTGCTCTGCCTATTTTACTGCACCGTATCTTTCCCACTTTAGTATGAATAGTTACTTACTTGGAAGGAGGCAGCCTAGACGTCCCTGGTGTCTGGTGATGCCCATAACATGAGCTATTCTGAGGGGAAGAACATGGATGTGCCTTTTTCCCCCTCCGCCTTGCGTGCTGTGCTACTGATCTGGGGTTTGCAAAAAATGAAATATAGGCCAGGCCTGGTGGCTCACGCCTGTAATCCCAGCACTTTGGGAGGCCAAGGCAAGTGGAGCACTTGAGGTCAGGAGTTCAAGACCAGCCTGACCAACATGGCAAAACCCTGTCTCTACTGAAAATACAAAAATTAGCCAGATGTGGTAGCACGCACCTGTAGTCCCAGCTACTCATGAGGCTGAGGCAGGAGAATCACTTGAACCCAAAAGGCAGAAGTTGCAGTGAGCCGGGGTCATACCACTGCACTCCAGCCCTGGTGACAGAGTGAGATTCCATCTCAAAACAACAACGATTTAAAAAAAAAAATAGAAACAAGAATTGGGAATCTGTTTTTTCCTTTCTTTTTATACCTACTAATGGAGGCTTGGAAAATGCAGGATAAAATATCAAACAATCATTCAAAGATGATTATAAATAGATAACATTTTTACCAATATTTTCTCTCTTATATGTATGTAAAGGAGCGTGTATGTGTGTGTGTGTGTGTGTGTGAGGGAGAGAGAGAGAGAGAGAGGAAAGAGAGAGTTTTACAATGGATCCTGCAGAATATATAATCTTATATCCTGCTTTTTCCACCTAACATTATCAGAAAAATTCTTTGCAGGTCATTTCGTCTTCTTCCAAAAGATGATATTTTTCTCCTACGGCTGCATAATTTGCAATCAAAGGATATTCCTTTATTTACATACCCTTTTACTAAGAACATTTAAATTGTTTTCTTCTATAACAGTACAATGACATCCTTCCTCTACATTTGTATTTATTTCCTCAGGGCCTATTTTCAGAGGTTATTTTTGGTTCGAATCATTTGAACGTTTTAAGGGTCTTGTGACCTATTGTCAATTTTTTTCGGCAATACTCGAGCTAGTTTATACTCTCACTGGCACTAAGAGTGTGGATTGGAAGTGCAGTTTTCAAGACAGGTGAGTATCTGGATTCTAGATGTTTATCAATTGCATATTTCTTCACATTCTTCTGATGGAGAAGGCCTCTTATGTTATGTTCAGCCATAACCACCACACCATGGGACTCATCCAATCATCCAATCTACTGAATGTCTGCTGAGTCCTGGGCCCCTTGCCTGCTGGGCTCTGAGAGT